CCTTTGTGGTCGTTATGTTACTGAAAGTGCCTTTGTGGTCGTTATGTTACTGAAAGTGCCTTTGTGGTCGTTATATTACTGAAAGTGCCCCTTTTTGGTCGTTATATCACTGAAAATGCCTTTGGGTCGTTATGTTACTGAAAGTGCCTTTGTGGTCGTTTTGTTACTGAAAGTGCCTTTGTGGTCGTTATATCACTGAAAGTGCCTTTTTTGGTCGTTATATCAAATGAAAGTGCCTTTGTGGTCGTTATGTTTTTGAAGTGCCTTTGTGGTCGTTATGTTACTGAAAGTGCCTTTGTGGTCGTTATGTTACTGAAAGTGCCTTTGTGGTCGTTATGTTACTGAAAGTGCCTTTGTGGTCGTTATGTTACTGAAAGTGCCTTTGCGGTCGTTATATCACTGAAAGTGCCTTTGTGGTCGTTATGTTACTGAAAGTGCCTTTGTGGTCGTTATGTTACTGAAAGTGCCTTTGTGGTCGTTATATCACTGAAAGTGCCTTTGTGGTCGTTATATCACTGAAAGTGCCTTTGTGGTCGTTATGTTACTGAAAGTGCCTTTGTGGTCGTTATGTTACTGAAAGTGCCTTTGTGGTCGTTATGTTACTGAAAGTGCCTTTGTGGTCGTTATGTTACTGAAAGTGCCTTTGTGGTCGTTATATCACTGAAAGTGCCTTTGTGGTCGTTGAATCCTTCAAGGTTAAATAAGCCACTGGGTTTGGTTTTATTGGGTTATCCTAAATTAATTTACACAAATAATAGAGCCTACTAGACTGGAGAATACACTAGACCTCATCTTCACTATAATGATGATCTGATAAGAAATGTCACCATATCAAAAACAATATACTCAGATCACAACATAATTGAGGTTCAGTCATGTATGCGCGGAGTCCCAGACCGACATAATGAGATTAGTCACGAGGGAGCATTCACCAAATTCAACTTCAATAACAAAAACATAAAGTGGGACCAAGTAAACCAAGTCCTAACCGATATAAGCTGGGAAGATATACTAAGCAACACAGACCCCAACTTATGCCTAGAACAGATTAACTCGGTGGCACTCGATGTATGCACCTGGCTTATTCCTCTAAGAAAAAGGAGGAGTAGATGTAAATTTGAAAGAGACAGGGGCTCCCTTTTCAGGCGACGGAAAAGAATAACAGAGCGGCTAAAAGAGGTCAATATATCTGAAATGCGTAGGGAGACACTGGTCAGAGAAATAGCAAGCATCGAACTTAAGCTAAAGAAATCCTTTAGGAGTCAGGAATCGCGGAAGAATAAAAGCCATAAATGAATCGAAAGAGACCCAAAGTATTTCTTCTCCTATCCAAATCAAAAACGGAACAACGTCCAGTATTGGGGGCCCCCACTTTTTAAAAAGATGGGGCCTACACAGTGACAGCAAGGAAATGGGGGACACATAAGTCCCAATAAAACTCAGTTTTTAGCAAGCCGCTAACCCGACGAGAGTCGAAGATCAAAATGAATTTTTTATGAGAAGCCCCCAAAATTTGATTAACACAAAGCCTATCCAAGTTACCTGACGCCAAATGATTCGAACAGGCGATAATGACAGCCCATGCACCTCCCCCTGGGCCAGACTCATGGGGAAATCTGTGTTCATCAAGAACTGCAAAAAAACCCCCATCACGAGCCTTTTTCCCTCCTATGGGAGGGAGCATGGACACGGGGGTCGTCCCCCAGTTACTAAAAACAACAGACAAGCCCCCTCCACAAAGGGGCATAAAAACAACAGCAAAAAAACTACGACCAAAACACAACAACATATCATAAACATTTTTGAAAGGGTCCTAAGAAGCAAAATCACCACCCCTCTAGAAACCCATCAGTTACACAACGAAGGGCAACATGGGTTTAAACAGTCGCTCCGTTTTCTCAACTTTGTCACTAAGACAAATCCAAATGCACAGAAACAAAAAGAATGCAGATGTAATATAACGACTTTTCAAAAGCCTTCGACAATGTACCCTGGGGGAATAGCGCACAAAATGCGGGGCTAAAAAAAATAACAGGGAAAAAACGGTCGATGGATCTATATTTCCTCCTAACAGAACCAGAGATAGTCGTCAACAGAGTAAAGCCGAGAGTACGGGAAAAACTTGTTCCACAAGGGGACTTTCTCGCTCCCATCTTGTTCCCATCCTCATTTCCGACATAGTGGCCCGGGGGCTGGTGGCTAAACTCCCCCCTTCACACCGGAGGGGCCCGGGTTTGATTCCCGCGGGTGGAAACATTTGACACTTTTCCCTTACACCGTTGTCCTGTTCCCTAGCAGCAAAAAGGAAACCTGGGTGTTTGTCGACTGGTGTGGCCGCATCCTGGGGGACAAGATTAAGACCCCCCCAAAGGAAAAAAGTTAGACATCCTCGAAAGACTGACTTTCTTGGGGTTTCCTGGGTGGTAACCCTCCGGGTTTAAAAATCCAACCGAAATCTTATCTTACCCAAAAGATGTCACCCCAGCACCGTGTCTTCCCTTTTCAGATGCACCCGAATTGCAGACTGTTTTTTTGCAGGGAAAACTGCAAAACTCCAGGCGGAATCAACCAAAATTTTTTCATGGGCTCAGAAAACACTATGAAGTTCAACATGAGAAATTTTAAATTTCCAGATATGGTAAAATGGAAATTAAAATTTTTTCAGGTACAAAACAAATTTTGGCCACAAAAAAAGCAAACACAAACCAAAGACCCGGAGGATCATGTCGGAGGTTCACCTTTTAAGGACCATAACATTGTATCAATCGCATCTGCTAGAAAATGACAGGATGGATAATGAAAAACCTTCAAAACTAGGGATGCCAAGCCCATGATGACACTCTTCAGGTCACTTGTTCTATCTAGGCTGGAATTTTGCTGCACACTAACAGCACCTTTCAAGGCAGGTAAATTGCCGACCTAGAAAATGTACAGAGAACTTTCACGGCGCGCAAAACGGAGATAAAACACCTCAATTATTGGAGCGCTTGAGGTTCCTAAACCTGTATTCCCTGGAACGCAGGGGGAGAGATACATGATTATATACACCGGGAAAAATCCTAGGGGGACTAGTACCGAACTTGCCCCACGAAAATCACTCACTACGAAAGCAAAAGACTTGGCAGACGATGCCCCCATCCCCCAATGAAAGCAGGGGTGCCCATAGCCACGTTAAGAGACCATACAATAAGTGTCAGGGGCCCGAGACTGTTCAACTGCCTCCCAGCACACATAAGGGGGATTACCAACAGACCCCTGGCAATCTTCAAGCTGACACTGGACAAGCACCTAAAGTCAGTTCCGGATCAGCCGGGCTGTGGCTCGTACGTTGGTTTGCGTGCAGCCAGCAGCAACAGCCTGGTTGATCAGGCTCTGATCCACCAGGAGGCCTGGTCACAGACCGGGCCGCGGGGGCGTTGACCCCCGGAACTCTCTCCAGGTAAACAAGTTACTGTACAATAATTTTTAATTTAAAATTTGCTTGATGAAGATTTTGTTGGGATTAACCTTCCGGATTAATAATCAGGATGTCTTGTTACCATAGGGGTCCTATAATGCCCTCCCCGGGATGCGACCCACACCATTGCTAACACCCAGGTACCTAATTAGTGATAGATAAACGGAAAGTATACCTGGAGAGGGTTTCGGGGGTCAACGCTCCCGCGGCCCGGTCTGTGACCAGGCCTCATGGTAGATCATGGCCTGATCAACCAGGCAGTTACTCTTGGCCGCACGCACCCTGACGTACGAACAAAATAGGTGCGAGAAAACTTGCCAAATCTTCTGCTCGTCCAGGGATCGAACCGTGGTCCCTCAGTGCGAGCTGAGGCGCTGCCAAGTGAGCCAAGATATTTGATCAAACCTGATTAATTCTCATTCTCCAAGAGCTGTATGACCCCTATGGGTTTAGCACTCCCCTTGAATATAATTGTATAATCTAAATAGCTGCAGGCGCAATTGCCACGGTATAGGAGAAAATAAGTGCTCGTGTCTCGGTTGGTAGCGTACTCGGCTAACACACTGAGGTAACGGGGAACGATCCCCGGCATAGGTGAATCGTTGGGAATGTTTTCTTACACCAGCTGTCCCTGTACACCTAGCAGTAAGTAGGTACCTGGGTGTTACTCTACTGTTGTGGGTCGCATCCTGGAGGTAGATATTAAATGAATCAGTGGAAAATAACCGACGGTACCCGATGGCGCTCTTACTTTATTGGGTTATCCTGGGTTACTAACCCTCCGGATTAATAATAAACCCAACAAAATCATCTGCCGCTTTATGTAGCTAACATAACCAAAGTGCATTTTAATCTAAAAAAAAAAAAAAGATTCCTCCAAGGTGAGTTGCTGTAAAAATAATACTTTTCAAATCAAAATTCTTATGCATTGATAGACGTGACTGGAAATTGACTTAGTATTCTCTTTCGTTTTTGTAATAAAACTATCTCGAGCCTAACCTTGCAAAAATTAACACTATAGATTAGCTTAATCCTTCCAAACTTATCTTGGGTCAGAATTGAGTTTTTTAACGTGATAAATGTACGAGGCAAGAACTCGCATGTAGACAGTAACAAAGTTTGTATCTGAGTGTTAGTCAAGTGTTGTAAGTTGCATCCTAGAGCAAGAGGACTAAACTAATATACGCAACAGTGACCTGCTTAATAGTGTTGGGCAAAACAATCTTTGTTTCTAAGACATTATGTACCGAGATGAACCTTAATCTCGATTTTAAGGATTTTAGTATTCTTGATGTTACTGTGCAGGTGAATTGTGACCTTGATTGCTTGAGTGCAGTCGATGTGAATTAATAACTCCAGCCACAGCTGTTACATTAGTACCAGCCGCTAAATCCACGGCATCCCGCAGCACCTGTCTGTGCGACAGATTTTTTCGTTTCACAGTGAGCACTTCTCGTGCCACCATACGATTGGACGGTGGAAGTGTGGTTCAAGATGCTCATTGGACCAGAGTGTGGGACATACACGTTGTTGGTTGGCTGTGCGGTGGAGGTTTTTGACTAATGGAGAGGAAGGCTCGGCCGGTCTTGTTGAATAATCCCAATATCTCGTATCTTCCACATGTTAGATAACTTGGCCATCACTTGCACCCCAGCGGTTGTCTGCTGAGCTGGTCCACATTTAACTGAGACCCCTCGTCAAGATACGTTTCTGGACAGAAACTGCGAATCTGCCTCTTATTCCCGGCGGGGTTGAGACATTTCGACGCGTTTCCTTACACCCGTTGTTCTGTTCACCTAGCAGCAGGTAGGTACCTGGGTGTTAGTTGACTGGTGTGGGTCGCATCCTGGGGGACAAGATTGAAGACCACAATGGAAAGGACAGTCCTCGATGACGCACTGCCTTGGGTTGTCCTGGGTAGCTAACCCTCCGGGGTTAAAAATCTGAATGAAATCTTATCTACTAGCCCGGGATAACGTAAGATAAGAAGGCAAAGCATTTTGAAATTGTATCTACACGGTATAAATTAAATACTGTATATTATAACTGACCCAGTGATTTCTGTTAATGATATTCGAAATATTTTACATTGCATTTATTTTATCGAATTAAGTAGATAAATGATGAAACCGTAATATGTGAAGTAACTAGATACAATTAGTTCATGATAAAAATGCGTTTGATAACCTACACAAGGGAGAATGGAACTTACAACGATGTTTCGGTCCAACTTGGACCATTAACTAGTCACACCAGTAGCTAGTGGTCGAAGTCCGACCGAAACGTCGTAAGTATCATTCTTCTATATACTAGTTATGTGTATTGTTCTAGTCACAGTATTGTGCCTTTCTATTTGTATACGTTGTGACCTCAGTCGCTCAAAGAAAGAGCTGGGTATGATAAACTAGCAACCAGGATAAGCTGGGTATAATAAACTAACACGTAGGATGAGCTTGGAGGGATGCATGCACAATGTAGTATCAGAATGAGCTGCGGTTTATTACTATTAAGGATAGCTACGGGTATATACCCCTCAAGGAAGGTTCCTTGATGTTGGTGAGGGGCTCTTGATTTAGGGAATTGGATCTGTGCTCCAGTTCCCCGAATTAAGCCTGAATGCCTTCCACATCCCCCCCCCAGGTGCTGTATAATCCTCCGGGTTTAGCGCTTCCCCCTTGATTATAATAATAATACGGGTATATAAGCTATACGAACGGGATAAACTAGAGACAAGTAAGTTTATTCAGGTATACACAAATAGTTACATAATTATCATACATAGCAGCATATGTGTAGATAACCTAGGATAACCCCAAAAAAAAGTCAGTGACTTGTTTCCAGTGAATTTCCACTCACAGAATGAGCTGCTTCCCTCTAAAGCCATGAATATCAGTGAACATAGTTATATACACACCTGTATATACGTATATCAGTGAAGAAGGATTTGAAATTCAGCGTAAAGTGACGCAATCATGGAAGGAACACGGGTAAAACATTAGAAGGGAATTTTGAGTATATAATAGATGAGTAAGAGTACAAAAGTTATACGTTCTTAAATCATAATGGGTGAGAGTACGAAGGAAATACTCTAGGATGTTTCATGGGTGACAAGTAGAAATAAAATACTGGATGTATAATGGATGAGTGATAACCTGTAATGGGAAGCCTGAAGAGGAGTGAGCATGCGAGCCTTTGTATAGTTAAATGGTAAGGAAATATGAGGGTAAGGGTCTTCAGTGTGCCAGTTATCACACTGGCATAGTGAGGTATATCTTAACTCCCCAATATGACTCGTACGGGTTTACTGTTTGTTTTCTTTTTTAATATAATAATTCCATAACGATGGGGAAGCGGTAGTTGTGACTGGATCATGAAGACGAGAAATGGAGGGAGGATAGAAAAAGTTGACCTTGGCTTAGGGGAAGGGAGGGTGAGTGGCGAGGTGTAGGTTCAAGGTTATATAGTCAACTGACTTTGCATTTATGAGCTGTTTTACTCGCCAGTCATATCTTTCCCCAGGTATTTTCTTGTTCTTCCTGTGCTCTTCTCCAACCTCATTCACTTTTTCTCTCCTGTGGCCTTCCCTTGGGTTATTTCCCCCCTCCTTTGCTCTTGATCCTTTTCCTTTTTTTTTTTTTTTTTTTTTTTTTTTTTTTTTTTTAACGCCATTCATTCTATCCGTCCTGGCCGTGGTGGCCTGGTGGCTAAAGCTCCCGCTTCACACACGGAGGGCCCGGGTTCGATTCCCGGCGGGTGGAAACATTTCGACACGTTTCCTTACACCAGTTGTCCTGTTCACCTAGCAGCAAATAGGTAACTGGGTGTTAGGTAAGACACATATGCAACAGTTAGGTATCTTTATTGTGAAACGTTTCGCCTACACAGTAGGCTTCTTCAGTCAAGTACAGGAAAGGTTGATAGAAGCAGAAGATACTTGAAGACGATGTAATCAGTCCATCACCCTTAAAGTTTTGAGGTGGTCAGTCCCTCAGTCTGGAGAAGAGCATTGTTCCATAGTATGAAACAAGTATCTTCTGCTTCTATCAACCTTTCCTGTACTTGACTGAAGAAGCCTACTGTGTAGGCGAAACGTTTCACAATAAAGATACCTAACTGTTGCATATGTGTCTTACCTAACAACCTGTCGGTATTTTATACCATTTTAATGTTCAATCTGTCAGACACAGCAACACAAGGGTATCTTGGTACAGACCTGCAATCAACTTCGGCAACTTCCACTAGTGAGAGGGGCTGGATTTGAGAGGGACCTCTCAACATCTGAGTTCTTACCTCTCCTACGTCTCACCTCTTGGCGCTATAAAAGCTCCATCCTGTCACTTCTTCTCCATATTGTTTCATACTATGGAACAATGCTCTTCTCCAGACTGAGGGACTGACCACCTCAAAACTTTAAGGGTGATGGACTGATTACATCGTCTTCAAGTATCTTCTGCTTCTATCAACCTTTCCTGTACTTGACTGAAGAAGCCTACTGTGTAGGCGAAACGTTTCACAATAAAGATACCTAACTGTTGCATATGTGTCTTACCTAACAACCTGTCGGTATTTTATACCATTTTAATGTTCAGGTAACTGGGTGTTGGTCGACTGGTGTGGGTCGCATCCTGGGGGACAAGATTAAGGACCCCAGTGGAAATAAGTTACAGTCCTCGACGACGCACTGACTTTGTTGGGTTATCCTGGGTGGATAACCCTCCAGGGTTAAAAATCCGAACGAAATCTTATCTTACTTTTACTCCCTCCCCTTTGTTCTTTCTCCCATTGTTCTTTCTCCTCCTTGCTCATTCCCTTCGTCTACCCTTTGTTCTTTCTCTTCCATTCACTCTTACCTGGAGTTTACTTGGAGAGAGTTCCGGGGGTCAACGGCCCCGCGGCCCGGTCTGTGACCAGGCCTCCTGGTGGATCAGAGCCTGATCAACCAGGCTGTTACTGCTGGCTGCACGCAAACCAACGTACGAGCCACAGCCCGGCTGGTCAGGTACCGACTTTAGGTGCTTGTCCAGTGCCAGCTTGAAGACTGCCAGGGGTCTGTTGGTAATCCCCCTTATGTATGCTGGGAGGCAGTTGAACAGTCTCGGGCCCCTGACACTTATTGAATGGTCGCTTAACGTGCTAGTGACACCCCTGCTTTTCATTGGGGGGATGTTGCATCGTCTGCCAAGTCTTTTGCTTTCGTAGTGAGTGATTTTCGTGTGCAAGTTCGGTACTAGTCCCTCTGGGATTTTCCAGGTGTATATAATCGTGTATCTCTCCCGCCTGCATTCCAGGGAATACAGGTTTAGGAACCTCAAGCGCTCCCAGTAATTGAGGTGTTTTATCTCCGTTATGCACGCCGTGAAGGTTCTCTGTACATTTTCTAGGTCACCAATTTCACCTGCCTTGAAAGGTGCTGTTAGTGTGCAGCAATATTCCAGCCTAGATAGAACAAGTGACCTGAAGAGTGTCATCATGGGCTTGGCATCCCTAGTTTTGAAGGTTCTCATTATCCATCCTGTCATTTTTCTAGCAGATGCGATTGGTACAATGTTATGGTCCTTGAAGGTGAGATCCTCCGACATGATCACTCCCAGGTCTTTGACGTTGGTGTTTCGCTCTATTTTGTGGCCAGAATTTGTTTTGTACTCTGACGAAGATTTAATTTCCTCGTGTTTACCATATCTGAGTAACTGAAATTTCTCATCGTTGAACTTCATATTGTTTTCTGCAGCCCACTGAAAGATTTGGTTGATGTCCGCCTGGAGCCTTGCAGTGTCTGCAATAGAAGACACTGTCATGCAGATTCGGGTGTCATCTGCAAAGGAAGACATGGTGCTGTGGCTGATATCCTTGTCTATGTCAGATATGAGGATGAGGAACAAGATGGGAGCGAGTACTGTGCCTTGTGGAACAGAGCTTTTCACGGTAGCTGCCTCGGACTTTACTCTGTTGACTACTGCTCTCTGTGTTCTGTTAGTGAGGAAATTATAGATCCATTGACCAACTTTTCCTGTTATTCCTTTAGCACGCATTTTGTGCGCTATTACGCCATGGTCACACTTGTCGAAGGCTTTTGCAAAGTCTGTATATATTACATCTGCATTCTTTTTGTCTTCTAGTGCATCTAGGACCTTGTTGTAGTGATCCAGTAGTTGAGACAGACAGGAGCAACCTGTTAACCCATGTTGCCCTGGGTTGTGTAATTGATGGGTTTCTAGATGGGTGGTGATCTTGCTTCTTAGGACCCTTTCAAAGATTTTTATGATATGGGATGTTAGTGCTATCGGTCTGTAGTTCTTTGCTATTGCTTTACTGCCCCCTTTGTGGAGTGGGGCTATGTCTGTTGTTTTTAGTAACTGTGGGATGACCCCCATGTCCATGCTCCCTCTCCGTAGGATGGTAAAAGCTCGTGATAGGGGCTTCTTGCAGTTCTTGATGAACACGGAGTTCCATGAGTCTGGCCCTGGGGCAGAGTGCATGGGCATGTCATTTATCGCCTGTTCGAAGTCATTTGGCGTCAGGATAACATCAGATAGGCTTGTGTTAACCAAATTCTGTGGCTCTCTCATAAAAAATTAATTTTGATCTTCGACTCTCAGTCTGTTTAGCGGCTTGCTAAAAACTGAGTCATATTGGGACTTGAGTAGCTCGCTCATTTCTTTGCTGTCATCTGTGTAGGACCCAACTTGTTTAAGTAGGGGCCCAATACTGGACGTTGTTCTCGACTTTGATTTGGCATAGGGGAAGAAATACTTTGGGTTTCTTTCGATTTCATTTATGGCTTTGTTCTTCCCGCGATTCCTGACTCCTATAAGATTCCTTTAGCTTAAGTTCGATGCTTGCTATTTCTCTGACCAGTGACTCCGTACGCATTTCAGATATATTGACCTCTTTCAGCCGCTCTGTTATTCTTTTCCGTTGCCTGTAAAGGGAGCGCCTGTCTCGTTCTATTTTACATCTACTCCTCCTTTTTCTTAGAGGAATAAGCCTTGTGCATACATCGAGCGCCACCGAGTTAATCTGTTCTAGGCATAAGTTGGGGTCTGTGTTGCTTAGTCTATCTTCCCAGCTTATATCGGTTAGGACTTGGTTTACTTGATCCCACTTTGTTTTTGTTCTTGAAGTTGAATTTGGTGAAGGCTCCCTCGTAACTAATCTCATTATGTCGGTCTGGGGCTCCGCGCATACATGTCTGAGCCTCAATTATGTTGTGATCTGAGTATATTGTTTTTGATATGGTGACATTTCGTATCAGATCTTCATTGTTAGTGAAGATGAGGTCTAGTGTATTCTCCAGTCTAGTAGGCTCTATTATTTGCTGGTTTAAATTGAATTTTGTGCAGAGATTTAAAAGCTCGTGTGTGTGTGTGTGCGAGTTCTCATCAGAGCTGCCTCCTGGTGTTATTACTGCAACAACATTGTTTGCTATATTTCTCCATTTTAGGTGCCTTAAGTTGAAATCCCCCAGGAGCAAGATGTTGGGGGCAGGAGCTGGCAGATTTTCCAGACAGTGGTCAATTTTTAACAGCTGTTCCTGGAATTGCTGGGATGTTGCTTCCGGAGGCTTGTAGACTACCTCAATGACTAGGTTTTGGTTCTCAATCTTTACTGCTAAAACTTCCACTACATCATTTGAGGCATTAAGCAGTTCTGTGCAAACAAGTGACTCTGCGATGTACAGGCCAACCCCCCCCCCTCGTTTCCTTGCATCTCTCTTACTCTTTCCCATTTAATTTTTCTCATATGAGACTGCTCCCTGTGCAGTCTTCTACTTCATTATACTGTATGCTCCCATTCCTTAGTTCTCTCCTCTCCAACAAATGCGAAGATATCTCTGAACTGTGGCTGCTAATAAATACATTTTTTGTTAGTTTATATCATAAATGGAGTGTAAAAAAAAGTTTACAATGATACAGACTAAATTAGAATCTGGCAGCCTCAAAATCACTCACTGTCAGAGACCAATTCTGTCTTGCCAAACCACTTTCAAAGCCATTTTTCTTTGGTAAATTATATCTCTATTCAGTTGTACCTTCTACATCCTTCATCAAGTCTCCCAACACGTAAATAACTAACCTGTTTTTAAATTTCTTATTCCATACCCACTCATACTTTTCCCAAGTGTTTTTGCATACCAGTTTCCCACCTATCTTCTGGTCTACCTAGCAAAATGCTGTTCCATGTGTCTAATAGGCTCAAATCAGTCTCCATTATCTGCATAATCTTGCATTTGTCATGCTGACCATTGTTGGAAAAACAATTCCTGCCTCTCATTCAATTCAACAAAGTCGCATTGCCATCTCGCTTACCTTCTAATCCTTATACATCCCTTGATTTCAGACCTGTTATGTAATGATGGTAATGCTGACAATTTTTATTTCTACCTAGTATGGTTTACATGTTTCAGAAAGGTGACATTATTGACATATACTTTATGGAAAATCCCTGGTTATATAGATCATTTTGGGTAGCCTTAAAATAATCTTATAACTACAGTAGTCCCCCTGTATCCATGAGAGATACGTTCCAAGACCTACCGTGAATAGTAGCAAACTCTGTATACGTTTAAGTAATTTTTCGTTTGCATACATATCTATGATAAGTTTAATTGATAAATTGAGCAAAATAATTCTAAAATGAGCACCTTTTCATTGAAGGGAAGCTTTTCATGGTTTCTCTTAGGCTTTGAAGAATTGCCAGCATCACTACTTAAGGGTTATTTTTGGGCCACAGTAAACCGTGGATAAATGAAGCAGTGGATACTGAATCTGTGGATATGGGGGGTCCTGCTGTGCTTATAACTTATAACTACTACTGTGATTTTTGAAAGCAATTTGTTGGAAGATTTTGTAAAACAATGCCTTCCTTTTCTGCTGTCACCTTCATAATTATCCTTTGTCACCTAGCTTTTGTATTTATTACTACTTGTGCAATGTCTCCCCTGGCAGCTCTTGTCAGAGATTGACATGACATTGTTAATGTTGATGGGCATGGCATTGCAAGTCATAACTGGATGATTGATTTTGTGGACAATGGAAGAGGAGAACCTCGATAAGTCAGACATCCTGTCCCTTTTATTTTATTTTATGAGAAGTGCTCAACCCATGTGGGCTATTTTGCACAAAAAGTAGAAGCCTGATCCATTGCCAATAACAAGACAAACATGGTACAGTATGTACTTAACTGTGTCACCTCCCATTACTGCGTTGCCCCAGACAAGATGTACCATATTGTACTACAAGCTGGACCATGCTAAACATTTTTTTTCCATTCACTGGCTTAATTCAGTTCAATTCAATTCAAGTTTATTCTCTATAATGGTTACAATGTGGGGTTTACAGGTTTTGGGTATTTTGTGGTTTACATGTTATAAAATACTAATTACAGAGGGGGCCACTAGGACACCTAGCATGGCTAGGCATTTTGGGCAGACTTAGATTAATTCTTAACATTAAATCCTTACAGATTATAGTATTAAGGCTAAGTGACTACATCATAATTTGTGAATTTAGCAGTGTGAATGCTTTTGTTTTGGCACAATACAAGGTGTCTATATTTGAGTATCATAGGCAAACTTATGACTAGTTAGGATTTATTATTTTAAGATTAAGATTAGTATTTTTGGGTTTATAGTCAGTGGGTGAGCGAGTGTAATTTTGAACCATCAGGTGGTTATCATGTAGTTAGTTGTCAGGGTGGATCAAGGAGATAAGATGTTTTCTAACTGTAGTTTTGAAAGTGATGAATGTGTCTGCAGTTCTAGAGTTTTCAGGTAGGGTGTTCCAGATTTTAGGTCCTTTGAAATACATTGAATTTTTGTAAAGGTTTAGTCGAACACGGGGAATGTCATAGAGATGTTTGTGTCTGGTGTTATGCCTGTGGATCCTGTCACAACTATCAAGAAAGCATTTTAGGTCAAGGTTAATATTGGAATTTAAGGTCCTGTAGATATAGATTGCACAGTAGTAAGTGTGGATGTTCTGAACAGGGAGTAAGTTTAGATCTATGAAGAGTGGGGGTGTGTGTTGCCAGGGATGGGATTTAGTGATTATTCTTACTGCGGCTTTTTGTTGGGTTATTATTGGCTTTAGGTGTGTTGCTGCAGTTGAACCCCAAGCACAGATAGCATAGGTGAGGTATGGATATATAAGTGAATGGTATAGTGTGAGAAGGGCCGTTTGCGGTACGTAGTATCGTATCTTGGAGAGGATCCCCACCGTTTTGAATACTTTTTTTATGTTTTGGATATGGGTGCTGAAATTTAGGTTGTTGTCGAGGTATAGGCCGAGGAATTTGCCCTCATTATGTCTGGCAATTAGAGTTGTCGATCTTAATGTTAGGTTGCGCAACACCTGCTCTGCTACCAAACATAATACATATAGTAGGTTTTGCCAGTGTTAAGTGTAAGTTTATTGGCTGTCATCCAAGTCGATATTTTGAGCAGCTCCTCGTTAACAATGGTGTTGAGGGTGGCAAGATTAGGGTGGGAGATGACATAAGTCATGTCGTCAGCAAAGAGAATGGGTTTCAAGTGTTGGGATATGTTTGGAAGATTATTGATGTAAATGAGGAAGAGCAGGGGTCCAAGGACACTTCCCTGAGGAACTCCAGTATCAAGTGGCCGTATTGATGAGGCTGTCTTTAATGGTGACATACTGATACCTATTAGAAAGGTAGGATTTAAAATATGCAAGCGCATGGCCTCTTATACCATAGTGGTCAAGTTTGTGGAGTAGGATGCCGTGGTCTACTGTGTCAAACGCTTTTCTTAGGTCAATAAAAATTCCTAGTGGATGTTTTGCTGTCACTTTATTTTTAAATTTGATTGTTTTGCAGACTGCTATTTACCTTTATCTTAGATTTATAACTGAATATTTTTTTGTATTTTAATTACAGACTGTGTTGCATCTTGAGGAATAATGGAAGATTTGGGATATAAGAAGAATGACCCTTCCTTCTCTACTCGTGCCATTCATGAAGGAAATGAGCCTGAGCAGTGGAATGATTTAGCTGCTGTTCCACCAATTTCCTTGTCAACAACTTTTAAGCAAAATGGCCCAGCTGAATTTAAAGTTAGTTTACCAAGTTAAAATTAAAATCTTTAAAATTAGGTTGAAACTAATTAATGCTGTTTTGTAATGGAAAAGTCATAAAATTTTGCCATTGGTTATACCATACCTACTAGTTTATATAAAATATATTCTGTCAGGCATGAATGGAACTGTACTACAGAGCTTTGTAGTGTAGTATTCCTAATTTTAATATACAGTAACTCTTCAAGAAAAATGCATTTATATGATGAAGAGCCCTTGGTCCAAAAAACTGGTGTTATCCTCTCAGTCATGATTAACTCAAATTTCCCAGGTGCTGTATGACCCTTATTGGACTAATTTTCCCGTGAATATAATAATAATGACAGTTTTTAAATGAATTAGTTTTACTGTATTATGTTGAAGTGTTTCTCTTGATACACAGTATGTACGGTGCTCACCTGTGTGTTGTTACAGAGGTCAATTCTCAGATCTTGGCCCTTCCTCTTAACTTGCCACTCTCCAAATTCATTTGCTCTTAGCATTGTAGGGTCTATCGCTGTATTGCTGTCTCCTCCATTTCCTCTCAAAGATTCCACTTCTGACCACTCTGAAACTGAAGAAATACTTCTGACATCCTTGTGGCTCATCTGTGACTTTTAACGATCTGTGTCCTTAGAGTTCCCATTTCACATCTCAAACAGCCTCTCTCTCTACTTTATCAATTCTCCCAAGTATTTTGTGTATTATCATGTCCCCCTCCTGGCTTTTCTGTCCTCTGATGTCGTTAGAGGCTTGGTTTGCTCAGCATCTTACACCTATGCCCACTTCTAATTCCTCTGCTGGTGTACATCATTGAAAAGTAAAAGAGCTGGTGAGCCCTACAGACTAACAGCAAGTTGTACAGGACTTTACAGGACTTGGAGTCTTTAGTCATCCTCTGTTATACAAGAATTGTCCCCAAGACAATTCTCTGTAGGTAGGACAAATGCACTTCACTCATGTCCACCCTGGAAGTGCTTTTGTCCGTGTGTGTGACTTGAGGGTTACTGCTGTCTGGCAAATGTTTTAATTGTTTGCCTTTTTATTTTTAGTTTTTATTATAATTGTTGTACCAGGTACTTCTAGGGATCTATGACAAAATTAATTGGATTTTAATATTAATAGTTTAATTTGTGGGAATGGTTTTTACTCAGCAGGTTTGGTTAGTTGTAGCTTGTTTGGTGGTTACCTGTCTTTGCAAGAGTAAATTGTTTTACTGCATCTTTCTTTCAACGCACCGGCCGTATCCCACCAAAGCAGGGTGACCCAAAAAGAAAAACAAAAGTTTCTCTTTTTAACTTTAGTAATGTATACAGGAGAAGGGGTTACTAGCCCCTTGCTCCCGGTATTTTAGTTGTCTCTTACGACACGCATGACTTACGGAGGAAGAATTCTGTTCCACTTCCCCATGGAGATAAGAGGAAGTAAACAAGAAGAAGAACTAGTAAGAAAATAGAAGAAAACCCAGAAGGGTGTGTATGTATATATGCTTGTACATGCATGTGTAGTGTGACCTAAGTGTAAGTAGAAGTAGCAAGACGTACCTGAAATCTTGCATGTTTATGAGAGAAAAAAGACATCAGCAATCCTACTATCATGTAAAACAATTACAGGCTTTGTTTTGCTGCATAAAGGTGTTAAATGACTTTTTGGTGTTAGAGCTTTGTAAATTTTAAAACTTCCTTTCACTGCTATTGAAGAGCTTGTTCTTGTCTGATTGTTTTATGGCCCCAGTTATTCTGTAGTTATCACATCCTCTCTTCTTAGTTCTTACAGGGAAATGAAGCCTAGAGCACACACATTCTTTACTCATTGCCCAGTTCCTCTACTAAGACACTGGTATAGATGTGCTTTTTGGCTTTCAGTGCTAATTACCTAGGTGAGAGTTTATACAGTGGTGCTGTGCACTTATGATTGGTCATATGTATAGGATTTTGTCTGACTTTCTGAAGGTCTCTTATGTTTACAAGCCTGGCAAGGTGTTGTTGATGCTCTTTGTATATTTCAGGGGTCATTTTTGGAGAAATGGTTAGTTGTAGGTCTTTCTCTTTATCAGATTCAGTTTCCTTTTTCTCCATCCAAATGGCAGTTATTTCTGGTTTGCTTTCTACATTTTATTTTTTATTACATATTTTAATTTTTGAGAATGTATTCAAATGCATAAGCCATTGAGTTGTTTTATGATCCCCAGTGATGAATATTTTTAATGGCCTCTGCTCCTTAGTCTACAAATTCCTTCCTCCAGGAGCTATGTAGATGACATCTATGCTCTTTGGCCCCATGACTAGTTTCTTCCAACCATTTGTTGATGCCCTTAACACTCTTGCTTCTTCTGATCAAACCTTTTGCTTCCTTTCCTTGACATACATGTCTATCGATCAGCTACAGGCTTGTCTTTTTCCATGTACAATATTACTTGCTTTCAGACCTTTCAGGCCTGACCCTGATACTGCTTTTGCTGCAGGGTCAGAAAAGTATTTTTTACGTACTATCTTTTTTAATTGCTTTGTGTGTTGGGATTTTGACATTCATCATAAAGTATTCATGACTATTTAATTTGCAAAACTTGGATTTCGTGATCATAAAACTAGACTTCATGACACTCTGTCTTACTGTGACAGTCTATCTACTGTATTTTTGTTTTAAATTGCCTATCTCTTTATTGTTCTGGCATTGCTTATTCCGTGCTAGTGCTGTATCTTGCTTGGCTTCCTTCTCCAGTGCCTTGGTATAGCATTTTTCCATGTTGCCCAAGGTGGCTTTTTCAGCTTGCTAAGTAAGCTTTATGGCTTTTTATCAGTGACCTGAAGGAGGAACAGAATTATGCTTTGAATATCATTAAGTGTTGGGAGTATCATTTCTAACCACTTAAGAGATAACATAAGATTTTGTTAGGAATTTTAACCCAGAGGGTTACCCAACCAGGATAACACAGGAAAATCAACGTGTCATTGAGGACTGTTCATTGGGGTCCTTCAGTCTTATCCCCCAGGATGCAACCTACACCAGTTGGCTAACACCCAGGTACCTACTTGCTAGGTAAACGGGGACAGCAGGTGTAAGGAAACATCTTACATCTTACTGATGAGTTATAACAAAACCCCTAGACACCATAAGGGAAATAAATGCCTTTTTTTATTTCCATTATAAGTGAATTAACCTGGCTAACGCATTGGTCTAGAGTTTTATGACTCGGATCGCGGGTTCTATCCCTGCCTGTGGTATTGTTTAATAGTGAATGCCAAGATGTACTGTAATTTTATTTATGAAAAATCTTCACTCAACTTTGTGTATACACTCTGTATCCAATTACTGCATTATTAAATTTTCCATTTAAAATGGCAGTAGCCTTTTCTAAACACTGAACAAGATCATTTAATTTTACATTATACAGATGCACAATAGATTGCAGAGCAAACCTTTATTTATAGAGAGCTTAATCAAGCACAGTTTATCAAGTCGCTGACTTGATAAAGCTCTGTAAATAGTGAAATACATTTTAGAAGTAAAGATTTACACTGTACATGGCATCTTTCTACCATACATGTTGGCAAATCTTTGCCTCTCAAATGTTCTGTACATTGTTTGAGTTCTGTGTCATATTAAAAGCATAGTGTCCTGTCCTGTGAATCATAGTTTTAGTCCTACTCAAACCTATGAATAATCTAAATAATTCTTTATTTTTTTTAATAATCTTGGGTTTAGACTTACTGCAACCCTATATATTTTATGGGCTTTGTAAGTCGCTTATTTTTTTTTTTCCAATTACTCGCCCACATAATGTATAGGCTTTTGCAAATAGATTTTTATTTGTGATAGTTAGGTTGGAAAACTTACGCTTTGCAGGCATGCTACCTTAATCTATATGGGAGCTTTGTTTAATCTAACTTGGTATTTGTAACCTAGGTAGGGTGGCTCCAGAGAAAATGCTCACCATTATTCTCACACTATGCCTTTCCAGAGGGGGCACAGATGCCATTGTCCATTGTTGACCTTCCAAAACTGCAACCTGCCTCACCCCATTAAGAGTGCCGTTACTACTTCACTTACAAAACTCAGTCCGGCTAACTGGTTTGCTCGAAGTTCCTTTATAGATAGATTGCTGTATTACCTTCCTTGCATGCCTTCAGTGTTATATCCCCTAAGCTTCTTACCTCTGCACTCCTGTCTTACATGCTCACATACAATGCCTGGTGAATGCATTAAACACACTGTACTTCTAGACACTTTTACACCAGTTTTTATTTTAAGGATGCTGCCCAGGTTGTTTAAATCCTTTTTTATTAACTCGTCTTCCTCTAATCTTTCTAAATAGCCACACCATCTCATCCCTTTTGTATCATCTTTGAATTATAGTATGTATTGTAGCAATTTCGTATTGCTACATGTATTTATAATTTCATGTGCTGTACTATGCAATGTAACACTCGCCACATACTAAACTTGGACAAGAGATTCCTTGGCTTATAGCCTACTGCTCACTGTATATTTATACTTTCTGACTGTTTGGAGTGACATCTAAAGTGTTGTATCTGGGTGCCTCTGCAAAGAGTGTGATTGTGTGAATGATGGTGAAAGTTTTTTCTGTTTTGAGTCACCCTGCCTCGGTGGGAGACAGCCGACGTGTTAAAAAAAAAATTATTTGGTACAGTATTACAAAATAGAGATCAAATATACCAAAAGATTTTTAATAAAATCATGTAGTATAATATGCATAAACATGTATTGTATCTAATGGTCAATTACTACATATTCTGGGGTATTATATTCTTCAGTATTGCAATTTAAAATTTTGGCTAAAATGTATACAGCCTCTCCTCACTTAACGATGGAATTCCGTTCCTGAGACCTTGTCAGTAAACGAAATTGTTGCTAAATGAGGAGCACACTATAATTTTAGTGGATTTGTCAGCCATCTTTGATATTGTTTTAATGTCACCTTTGCACCATTGATAACATTTCTAGTATATTTTTAAATATACCAGAAATGTTTCTACAGTAGTGTACTGTATATTGTAATAAATAAACAGAATAGAGGAAATTGGCTCGATATACATTATTCAGGTATGCATACTGGTCAGAGAGCCTGTCGTAAGTCTGAGTCGTTGGTAAATGAGTACGTCGCTAAGTGAGGAGAAGCTGTATTGTATCCCTTCCATAAGTTCTTGCCACATGTCAGTGAATTTGTAAATTTTGTGACTGCAACCATGGATACAGCAAGCATTCCACTGTTAACCCACAGTCTGGAGGGGAAATATGGGACATTATGGCCCATACTGGACCGTTATCCACTTACTTAATAATGCGCTAATTACGAACCAAAATTTCATCTACAGTGATGGCAAATTGTTGCAGCCTTGGTACAGTATTATGAGTTTTAGTCTTGTGTGATAACTTTCCCAGCACTAATCACCACCAGTTGTCAGCATCTCTCATAATAACATTCACCCTCCTGCCTTTCCTAGTAGACAATGTCTGTATTCACTTAATGAAAGTATTGATGAAATAATTATCATAGTGTTAATGTAAGGTGCAATAAAGAATATATGCAGAGGTGCACTCTGGACAAAGAAAGGAAAATCATTAAATGGATTTAGTTTAAAATTTGCATTTTATATCCTTTATTTATGTTGCAGCTCTTTGAGTATGGTCGTTCAGGGAATTCAACCAGGCAGTGCCTTCAAAAGTGTCTGGCAGCGACTGAAAATGCTAAATATGGTAAATTTTTTGTCACTATTTTCAAATTTACAACAAATAAAAGTATAGTATTGGTATATTTTTAATAGGTACAATACAGGAAATAATGAACACAAATGTAATTTGAGATGTATAATAAAGTAAAAGGACACAAGTGCAACTAATGTGACATTTTTATTGTGGCAACGTTTTGCTCTCCAGGAGCTTTGTCAAGCTGCACTTGTGTCCTTTTACTTTACATTTTGTCGGTAATTCTACCAACATTATTACATATAATAAAGCAAATTTCATAAGATTCCATATACTATGTAGTATTCCTGCATTCAATAGCATTCAACTTTTTGGGACCCGGTGTGTAATAATTGTAAAAAATGTTTTTCAAGAGATTTCCTGCTTTTTATCTGCATATTATCTTATGCTTATCAGTTATTTTTCTCATTTTTAAGGTTTAGTATTTGCTTCTGGTTTGGCTGCTACCACCACTATAACACACACACTATCTGCTGGTGACCATGTTATATCTATGGACGACCTTTACGGCGGCACCAACAGATACTTCAGCCGTGTAGCCTCAAGGTGAGTAATGCTCAAATTATGGAATACTTTTCACTTGCAGGTTAGCCATAGCACCAATCAGTAGAAAGCATTTTTTGGTAATTATTTTTCTCCTCCGTATTATTGTCGTCCTTTGTTAGTTAGTTTCTGAAAAATACTCTCCATTTGTTTTCAAATTTTTCATTGTATTTCAAAGTTTAGTATTCCTTTTTCAATGACTTTGGCAAGTAATGCTTAACAGGTTTATTGCTTTTTGGGAAGAATCCATGTTGGTAGTTTTTCTAGATGGCCAACTGGCTGTAAATGCATATATTCAGCAACTGACATGGTAAAGCAGTGATCAGCATTTAAGATTTCTATTCTCAGTATTGTAAAAGTGTTTTGTGATCAACCCACTCGTGCCTTTTATAAGGAATTATTACTGTAATACTTCAGTACCCCTCTCCTATTCTGATGTCCAGTATTTAAAAATCACACTTTGTATTCTAAGTGGGTAAACCCGTTGTTTTATCCACTCTACTGTATTATTTCAGTCTGATTTTGAATATTTAAGGGCATTTTTTTATGGAAAAATTTACAAATTGGGATGTTAGTTGCAAGGAACTGTAACGTACCGGACCTTGAACAAACTGGAGTCTGAGCAATTTTGTTTAAAAAAAAAATTTACTCAGTCTTTGAATGCATCAGCTTGTTTAAAATTCAGTTGTAAAAAAACTTAACATCAAAGTTCTGTTAGTGACTTCTAGCTCTGAGACTTTTGGAAGTCGATTCAACATCCTCCAGTGTGTGTGATGCTAATAACTAAAGCCTGGGGAATACTGTTTTGGACATTAAACTTTTCACAGTTAGAACACCACCCAGGAACCAGTTAAGTTCAAACATTGAAGTTCCATTGTAATTGGAATTATAATTTCTCCACCTTGTATGTGAAAAAGTTTCATAGTATGTTCATGAATATAGTAATGTAAAAACTACTCACATTTATTAATTATATTTTATAAAGCAAGTGGTACTTTTCAGGATGGGAATTCAAGTTGAATTTGTTGATGCTGTTGATCCCAAGAATGTGGAAGCAGCATTGAAACCCAATACAAAAATGGTTTGGCTTGAAACTCCAACCAATCCTACATTGAAGATTGTTGATATTGCTGCTGTATCAGCTATTGTGAAAAATCATGGAGCATTCGTGGTTGTGGACAATACATTTATGTCTCCATACTTTCAGCGACCTCTTGAACTTGGAGCAGATTTGGTGATGCACTCTGCAACAAAGTATATAAATGGGCATACAGATGTCATTATGGGAGCTGTCTGCACAAATCGGTAATGCTTACTGGCTCATTGTATAAACTAACAGTCTAACATGTTAATTGATTTGTGTATGTAGTGTTGTACACTAAAGTAAAGATTTACTTTATTGGCATATTTCAACAATTCACTTGCTAAATGTTGGCAATGAGAAATATTTCCTACAGTTTCTCCTCGCTTATTGATGGAGTTCTGTTCCTAAGAGCACGTCGTTAAACAAGTTTGTCGCAAAGTGAGGAGTATACCATAATGGTAGTGGGTTTGTGTCGACCATCTTTGATATTATTTTAATGTCACCTTTGCACCATTTATAACATTTCTAGTATATTTTTAAATGTTTATACAGTAGTATACTGTATATTGAAATAAAAAGAATAGAGGAAATCAGCTCTAATATATGTACATTATGTAGGTATAAATATTGGTCAGAGAGCCTGTCTTAAGTCTGAGGCATCAGTAAACAAGTAGTACGTCACTAAGTGAGGAGAGGTTATAAATCTTTTTAATTTTCCAAGTCACTTTTTGTTTGTGTTATTGATTCAGTGTAATGTGTAGATTAATTGGGCAACTTCAGGGACATAATTTACCAAAGAAAAAATCATAAAAGTGGTATAGTAAGCTACAGAATAAATTTTTAGTGTTTATTACTAAGCATTTATTTGCCTAAAGGAGGGGTTTTGGGATATTAGTTTGGAGGGATATGTTGTGTATCTTTATACGTATATGCTTCTAAACTGTTGTGTTCTGAGCACCCCTGCAAAAAGTGATTGTGTGAGTGAGGTGAAAGTGTTGAATGATGATGAAAGTATTTTCTTTTTGGGGATTTTCTTTCTTTTTGGGTCACCCTGCCTCGGTGGGAGACGGCCGACTTGTTGAAAAAAAAAAAAAAATTATTTGTCATACTGCAAACCTTTCTGTATGTCATACCAGTCTTCAGTACTGATACATAAATAATTTCAAACTTCTAAATTAACAGGGATGACCTATATGAGCAACTTCTCTTTCTACAAAATGCTATTGGACCTGTTCCTTCTCCATTTGATTGTTACTTGGTGAACCGATCACTGAAAACCTTGGCATTGAGAATGGAACAACACATGAAGAATGGTTTGGCAGTTGCCAAGTTTTTAGAGAATCATCCATGTGTGGAGAAGGTCATACATCCAGGTTTACCATCACACCCTCAGCATGAGGTAAGTATTCATAGTTCATTCACATATTCTCCTGCTTAACCATCACAGCACTCCTAAGCATTTAGATTTCTGCAAAATATTTTAGGCCTCAGAAATAATCTTTTCCTTTCATTTCTGTTTGCAGCATACAAGCCTTCCAAAAAAGTCGTAGGTTAGCATGTCATTTTTCTTTGTGTGATATTTTTCTCCCACACATGACAATCCCAGCAAGCAAGCGTGCATGAGCGTGTTAGGAGTGAATGGAGACGAATGGTACCTGGGACCTGACGATCTGTTGGAGTGTGAGCAGGGTAATATTTAGTGAAGGGATTCAGGGAAACCAGTTATTTTCATATAGTCGGACTTGAGTCCTGGAAATGGGAAGTACAATGCCTGCACTTTAAAGGAGGGGTTTGGGATATTGGCAGTTTGGAGGGATATGTTGTGTATCTTTATATGTGTATGCTTCTAGACTGTTGTATTCTGAGCACCTCTGCAAAAACAGTGATAATGTGCGAGTGTGGTGAAAGTGTTGAATGATGATGAAAGTATTTTCTTTTTGGGGATTTTCTTTCTTTTTTGGGTCACCCTACCTCGGTGGGAGACGGCCGACTTGTTGAAAAAAAAAAAAAATATTTGTTTCAGTGCTTTCAGGCTTTACTTGGTCCCTCCAATTTTCTTTTTATTCTTTTTTTTTCCAGTTAGTTTACCCATGTATTTCTAACTGTTCCTCAGAGTATTATATCCTTTTTATTCATTTTTCATTAATCCAAAATTCTAAAATTAAACTTTGTTTGCATACGTTTCTCTGGAATGGGCATATATAAAGTAATGCAGTTTTTCCCATTAGATTTTGCTGTTGCACTTGGCCTCTGTATTTTGCTTTTGATGTTCTAGTTCTTTGTAACCATCTTGTAATAGTTCTGGAGATCATGGCCCAGTATCTGACAGGTCTCAAGCACACAATATTGTATTGTACCTGTTCTGTGATGGTACTGTTCTGGTATCCTTTCTGTTTTACCTGTTAAACTTTTTTTTTTTTTTTTTTTTTTTTTTCAACAAGTCAGCCGTCTCCCACTGAGGCAGGGTGACCCAAAAAAGAAAGAAAATCCCCAAAAAGAAAATACTTTCATCATCATTCAACACTTTCACCACACTTGCACATTATCACTGTTTTTGCAGAGGTGCTCAGAATACAACAGTCTAGAAGCATACACATATAAAGATACACAACATATCCCTCCAAACTGCCAATATCCCAAACCCCTCCTTTAAAGTGCAGGCATTGTACTTCCCATTTCCAGGACTCAAGTCCGACTATATGAAAATAACCGGTTTTCCCTGAATCCCTTCACTAAATATTACCCTGCTCACACTCCAACAGATCGTCAGGTCCCAAGTACCATTCGTCTCCATTCACTCCTATCTAACACGCTCACGCACGCTTGCTGGAAGTCCAAGCCCCTTGCCCACAAAACCTCCTTTACCCCCTCTCTCCAACCCTTTCGAGGACGACCCCTACCCCGCCTTCCTTCCCCTATAGATTTATATGCTTTCCATGTCATTCTACTTTGATCCATTCTCTCTAAATGACCAAACCACCTCAACAACCCTCTTCTGCCCTCTGACTAATACTTTTATTAACTCCACACCTTTTCCTAATTTCCACACTCCGAATTTTCTGCATAATATTTACACCACACATTGCCCTTAAACAGGACATCTCCACTGCCTCCAACCTTCTCCTCGCTGCTGCATTTACCACCCAAGCTTCACACCCATATAAGAGTGTTGGTACTACTATACTTTCATACATTCCCTTCTTTGCCTCCATAGATAACGTTTTTTGACTCCACATATACTTCAACGCACCACTCACCTTTTTTCCCTCATCAATTCTATGATTAACCTCATCCTTCATAAATCCATCCGCCAACACGTCAACTCCCAAGTATCTGAAAACATTCACTTCTTCCATACTCCTCCTCCCCAACTTGATATCCAATTTTTCTTTAGCTAAATCATTTGACACCCTCATCACCTTACTCTTTTCTATGTTCACTTTCAACTTTCTACCTTTACACACATTCCCAAACTCATCCACTAACCTTTGCAATTTTTCTTTAGAATATTCCATAAGCACAGTATCATCAGCAAAAAGTAACTGTGTCAATTCCCATTTTGAATTTGATTCCCCAAAATTTAATCCCACCCCTCTCCCGAACACCATCTATAAATATATTAAACAACCATGGTGACATTACACATCCCTGTCTAAGACTTACTTTTACCGGGAAGTAGTCTCCCTCTCTTGTACACACCCTAACCTGAGCCTCACTATCCTCATAAAAACTCTTTACAGCATTTAGTAACTTACCACCTATTCCATATACTTGCAACATCTGCCACATTGCTCCTCTATCCACTCTATCATATGCCTTTTCTAAATCCATAAATGCAATAAAAACTTCCCTACCTTTATCTAAATACTGTTCACATATATGCTTCAATGTAAACACTTGATCTACACATCCCCTACCCACTCTGAAACCTCCTTGCTCATCCGCAATCCTACATTCTGTCTTACCTCTAATTCTTTCAATTATAACCCTACCGTACACTTTTCCTGGTATACTCAGTAAGCTTATTCCTCTATAATTTTTACAGTCTCTTTTGTCCCCTTTCCCTTTATATAAAGGGACTATACATGCTCTCTGCCAATCCCTAGGCACCTTCCCCTCTTTCATACATTTATTAAACAAAAGTACCAACCACTCCAACGCTATATCCCCCCCTGCTTTTAACATTTCTGTCATGATCCCATCAGTTCCAGCTGCTTTACCCCCTTTCATTTTATGTAATGCCTCACGTACCTCCACCACACTTACATTCTGCTCTTCTTCACTCCTATATAATCTCTCTGACATGAACATTTATACTGTGATATCCTTGGTTGTGTAATTGCAATTTTTTTGTGAAATGGCAAACTACATGTACTTCATTGGCATTACTGTACTGTACAATACTGTATACAAATCAAATTTTTAATGTCTTTACCATCTTTACAGTTATCTAAGCGTCAGTCCTATGGCCAGTCGGGTATGTTTAGCTTCTACATAAAGGGAAATGATCTGAAAACCTCGAAGAGTTTCTTCCAGCAGTTGAAGGTGTTCACCCTCGCCGAGAGTTTGGGAGGATACGAGTCGCTCTGTGAACTTCCGTGAGTTACTTAATAACACTTGGTTTTCTTTAGAGTACATTGGGTTCAGTCAAGATTAACATATGATGAGCTATTCTCACAAATCACAACATATGGATGATTCTTGAACATTGCTTGGCTAATAAAAATTGTAGTTATGCTAAGCATTTTTTTTTTTTTTTTTTTTTTTGGCATTTAAAGTTAGCTAGAAAGAGGGAAAGTACCTAGAGATTCACAGAGAGCGTGTTATAAAAAAAAAAGCCTGTTGAACATACCTGTTAAGGTGTATGGTAGCTAGTATTGAAAGAGTTAAGGGAAAGACAGAGAAGGGGATTGCAGATCAACAGTGTTTTAGGAAAGGTAGGGGATGTGTAAACCAAGTGTTTACACTGACACACATAAGCAAACAGTACTCAGATAAGGTAAGGAAATTTTCATTGCACTTTTGAATTTGGAAAAGGCATATGATAGGGTCCTAGGTAGTAGGTTGGTAGACAGCAACTGCCCAGGGAGGTACTACCGTCCTGCCAAGTGTAAAACAAAAGCCTGTAATTATTTTACATGATGGTAGGATTGGTGGTGTCCTATTTTTCTGTCTCGTGAACATGCAAGATTTCAGGTGCGTCTTGCTACTTCTACTTACACTTCGGTCACACTACACATACATGTACAAGCATATATATACACACCCCTCTGGGTTTTCTTCTATTATCTTTCTAGTTCTTGTTCTTGTTTATTATCTCTTATCTCCATGGGGAAGTGGAACAGAATTCTTCCTCCATAAGCCATGCGTGTTGTAAGAGGCAACTAAAATGCCGGGAGCAAGGGGCTAGTAACCCCTTCTCCTGTATATATTACTAAATGTAAAAGGAGAAACTTTCGTTTTTCCTTTTGGGCCACCCCGCCTCGGTGGGATACGGCCGGTGTGTTGAAAGAAAGAAGATATGATAGGGTGGATAGGGAAGCAGTGAGGCAGATGTTGCAAGTGTATGGAATAGGTGATAGATTACATAAAGCATCTTAGAGTTTTCGAGGACAGTGCGGCTCAGGTTTTAGGGTATGTAGGAGAGTTTATTTTCCAGTAAAAGTAGGCCTTAGATAGGATGTGTGATGTCACCATGGTGGTTTAACATATTTATGGATGGGATTGTAAAGAAAGTGAATGCTAGGGAAACTGGTTAGCTGGATTTGAGTATTGTAGGTTGAAAGTGCAGTGCTTGCACTCTGAAGGAGGGGTTGGGGATGTTGTAGTTTAGAAAGGCAACTTAACTGTAGTGTCGGCATGCCTTTGACAAGACAGTGACAGTAAGCAATGATGAGTATGTTTTTATTCTTTTTTGGATCATTCTGCCTCTGTGGGAGATGGCTGGTGTGTTTAACCCTTTGAGGGTCGACAGGCCCTCTCCGAAACTCGTTCTCAGGGTCGGCCAAATTTAAAAAAAAAAAAATTATTTTTTCTTATGAAAAGATAGAGAATTTTTTCCTGATCATAAAGACACCAAAAGTTTGAAATTTGATAGAAAACTTACGGAATTATGCTCTCACAAAGTTAGCGGTCTCGGCGATGTTTACGCATCGGCGATTTTGCCCACTTTGAGCCCCATTTTCGGCCAATTTCACTGTACTAGTCGACAAAAAACATGAATATTTCGCTAGAACTCCATTTTTTCTATCGAATGGGTGCAAGAAACCACTCATTTATGAAATTCAACTATCCAGTACAGTGGTCAGAATTTAGCAATTTTGCCAATTTCACACAAATTTCAAAAGATGCCAATTTCGGAATAGGGTCCAGAATAAACAAGAAAGACATTCCTGGCACTAAAATGACATTTCCTCTAGTCATTATTCACGTCTCAAGGCCCCTCTTATATTCTTTTGCTTTCCACTTTGAATTTTTATTTTCACAAAAAATATAAGATTTACTGTTATGCAGACTACTGCATTAGTGTAAAAAATGGTATAAATATTATTGGTGCACTTGTGAAAAAATATTAGACTCACCAGTTGACGTGTATTGCACGCTTGGCACGATTTGTTTACTTTTGAAGTTTGGTAAAAATCGGACATTTCTGCTACTTTGAGCTCAATTTCAAGGCACCTTTCATTGTAAAACCAGTCAAAATCATCTCAATTTCAGTAATATGTCTTCCATTCTATAAAATGAGACCAAGAAAACTAGAATACAACAATAAATACCATACGAAAATACACTGCAAAGTCGCTGATTTATTAAAAAAAAATGGTCAAAGTTTTTTTTTTCTCATTATGCACTGTGTGCTGCAGGATTTTTTTTAGACTGTGCACACTGACCACATAGACCCATTCTTTCATATGAAGGCCTACCAGCTTTCTCCCACTAGATTTGAGGCCGCTAGAATTTATGAGTACTAGTACGTCAAAAACCCCTATGCGTAAGACGTACTAGTACGACGAAAACCCTCAAAGGGTTAAAAAAAATCTTGAATGCCTCTTTATTAGTGTTTTTATGTTTTATTTAACAATGGATGTCATTTACAATTTGAGGAAGTAGGCATAACAAAATAATTTTTGGCACGACTTGCTAATTTTTTTATTTAGTTGGATCTCAAATACACCCCCCCCCCCCCCCCAACAAAAAAAAATAGGGGTGACCCCCAAAGAATTTAGTGTATTTTCAATTATGCATATTTTAGCTGCCTTTCCAGAAGGACACAGCCTTCACAGTCCAGTGTTGACTTAATGCACATTAATATGCCTACTCTACTTTCACTCCAAAACTTATAACTAACTGGTTTCCTTACAGTGTCACTTCGTAAATATTATCTTGCTCCTACAGCATGTCAACTCTCATGGGCTTCTTGCCAATACTCGTTTTTTCTTATGTAATCATAGTTAAGCATTCAACATCATTACCAGTATATTGTGTGTTGTTTTTGAAGATCATAGATTACTAAAATATAAATTGTATACAGTACTACATATTTTTAGATATTAGTTGTTAACTTTCTCCTAAAAGCAGCAATATATTTTGACCTGTCCTTGAGTAAATTTGGCTCTTAGAAATTTTTGTGAAGCTGGAACAGAACCTCTATTTCCACTGTCCAAATGTCATTGAATTTTCCATATATTATATACAGTGACATAGTTTTTCTAATTAATAGTTAAATTTGTGTTTTTTTCTGTAGGCATCTTCATTTACATTGTGAATTTTGTATAGGTCTGTGATGACCCATGCATCTGTGCCAAAAGAGACTAGGGACAAGCTGGGTATCACAGATGGACTTATACGTGTGTCATGTGGTTTAGAGAATGCTGATGACCTAATAAATGACCTTGATCAAGCACTTCGGAAGGTGGTGAGTAGCAACTGGTTGATCCATATTTTACTTCAGTGAATTTTTCACGTTTCGAGAGCTTGACATAAAGTTCAAACTCCAGTCAGTGTAATATTAATGATCCCCCAGAAAATTTGGTCATGTATTGTACAGACCGTATTTACAGTAGATAAATGTATGGTTGCAAGTTCTGAAATGCGTGTTCAAGACTAGATGGAATGATTGATGATTCTATTGTATGTAAGAAAAATTGTTGGTAATGATTTTTTTTTTAAGATTAGTGCCATTTAAATTAGTAATCATTCAAATACATACAACTGAATAATTGTTGTATTTCTTTTCCCCAGGTCCATGTTTAAGGCTAGCAGTGCTAGTCTCAAGTACCTTAGAAGTGGCAGAGAGCAGGACTTCAGTATCTGAACACTGACTTGCTCTTAACAGCAGGAAATTCCTACTGAAAAGTATCACATTGATAGAAAATTCTGCATCTCGCTGTTTGAAATATTTACAGCCAAAACATTTTTATTTAATGATATGACATGGTGTAGTTTACAAAGTGACATTTTATTGAACATTTATAGAAACATACCTTAACAGTTGCTATTAAGTTATTTTGCATAGTGACTAGAGTGCAGAAAACACAATAGTGACTAGGGTGCAGAAAACACAGCTCAGTATTAACTAATCTTTTTATAAAACTTTCAAAAGCAGTGTAATTGTTGAACAAGTCCTAAATTTGAGATTGTTTTGAGGATCCAGAAATCATTAATTTTTAAGTACAGTAGAACCTTTATATTTGCAAAGATAAATTCATGAGATCAAAGTGAATAACAAATAAGCACACAACATGCATAACTGTTAGTTTAATGTTGACAAAATTATTTTAAATAAGTGATGCAAGGGGATTAAAAATATACAAGAGTGCTACTTTCTTGAATATACTTATGATCTTTATCACCAGTCAAGACTACTTATCATGATAGAGATAATAGCTTATTATGGGATTAGTAAATTCTGACTGACCTTATAAACACCTCACACTTCATAGTTTCATAGCTTAGTGCTATTGTATGAACATAATGCAGTGATGTAGGTTGGTAGACAGCAGCTGCCCAGGGAGGTACTACCATCCTGCCAAGTGAGTGTAAAATGGAACCTTGTAATGGTTTTACATGATGGTAGGGTTGATGGTGTCTTTTTTCTGTCTCATAAACCTGGAAGATTTCAGGTACGTCTTGCTACTTCTACTTACTTAGGTCACACTACTATTTCATGTACAAGCATATTTATAATATATATACACACACACACACACACACACTCCTCTGTATTTTCTTACTAGTTCTTGTTCTGGTTTATTTCCTCTTATCTCCATGGGGAAGTGGAATAGATTCTTCCTCATTAAGCCATGCATGTCATAAGAGGTGGCTAAAATGCTAGGAACAAGGGGCTAGTAACCCTTTCTCCTGTGTGCATTACTAAAGTTAAAAAGAGAAACTTTTGTTTGTCTTTTTGGGTCACCTTGTCTCGGAGGGATATGGCCGGTTTGTCGAAAGAAGAATGCTTTAATATAGTACAGTGCCTGCACTCTTAAGGGGAGGAATAGGGATGTAGTTCAGATGGTCCCTTGAATTATGATGTCTGCATACTTTTAAAACGGCTATTGAATGATTAAAAGTGAATATTCTTGTTTTCATAAACAAGCATGTCTTGCTACTTCTGCTTCCACTTCGGTCACACTACACATGCATGTGCAAATGTATATATTTACACACCCATCTGGGTTTTCTTCTATTTTCTTAATACATAGTTCTTGTTCTTTATTTCCTTTTATATCCATTGGGACGTGGAAAAGAATTCTTCCTCCATAAGCCATGCGTGTTGTAATAGGTGACTATAATGCTGAAAGCAAGGGGCTTACCTGGAGTTTACCTGGAGAGAGTTCCGGGGGTCAACGCCCCCGCGGCCCGGTCTGTGACCAGGCCTCCTTAGGTCAGTGTCCCAGGATGCGACCCACACCAGTCGACTAACACCCAGGTACCCATTTTACTGATGGGGAACATAGACAACAGGTGGAAAGAAACACGTCCAATGTTTCTACTCTGGCTGGGAATCGAACCCAGACCCTCACCGTTTGAAGCGAGAGCGTTAACCACCAGGCCACCAGAGTCCTAGTAACCGCTTCTGTATGAATTACTAAATTTAAAAAGAAAAACAATCGTTTTTCTTTTAAAAAGAAAAACATTTGTTTTTCTTTTTAGGTCACTCCCCTCTCTAGATATACCCTGGCTTGGTGGGATAAGGCCAGTTTGTTGAAAAAAAAAAAAAATTGGGGGGGTCACTGCCCTGGTGGGAGATGACCAGCATGTACAAAAAAAAAAAATTGCCTTGATATTATACATCCCTTTTGTGATATGACCCTTGTAGGTTTAGCACGTCTTTTTGATTATAATAATATACTCCCCTTTGTATTTGCCTCGTGTCAGTTGTCTCCCTCTCACCTAGCAGTTATTTTTTCTTTCACTGGTCCATGAACATGTAGTGTTGCTATTAGTAATTGTGCAATTGACATAGTAAAAAAAATACCGAAGTTTTACTGCAGTTACTTGTCATTTGTTACGGTTACCTATTGTCTCTCTTCCCCTCCCTTCTTTCCTTCTTCCTCCTGCTCATCTCCCTCTTACCCTTCTGCCTCATTTTCTGTTTTTTTACCCATTTTTTTTATCCTTCCTTTTCTTAATGGCCTCATATTTCTTATCCCTCTTTTTCTTTCTCTTGTCTCCTTTGTCTTATTCCTCTTTTTCTTATCTTCCACATCCTATCCCTTCTCTCCTTCATTTTTCCCATCTTTTATTTATTTTTTTTTTTTTTTTTTTTTTTTTTTTTTTTTTCAACAAGTCGGTCGTCTCCCACCGAGGCAGGGTGACCCAAAAAAAAGAAAGAAAATCCCCAAAAAGAAAATACTTTCATCATCATTCAACACTTTCACCACACTCACACATTATCACTGCTTTTGCAGAGGTGCTCAGAATATAACAGTTTAGAAGCATATACGTATAGAGATACACAACATATCCCTCCAAACTGCCAATATCCCAAACCCCTCCTTTAAAGTGCAGGCATTGTACTTCCCATTTCCAGGACTCAAGTCCGACTATATGAAAATAACCGGTTTCCCTGAATCCCTTCACTAAATATTACCCTGCTCACACTCCAACAGATCGTCAGGTCCCAAGTATCATTCGTCTCCATTCACTCCTATCTAACACGCTCATGCACGCTTGCTGGAAGTCCAAGCCCCTCACCCACAAAACCTCCTTTACCCCCTCTTTCCAACCCTTTCGAGGACGACCCCTACCCCTCTTTCCTTCCCCTATATTATGATCATTGTTATTTAAAGATTTCTATTTATTAAAACTTCAGTAACTGCATATTTTTTGAAGTAAAGTACAGTATGTACATTAATATTTTTAACAAAGATAAAAAAGTAACTAATTGTAACTAATTATTCTTTTAAATGAAAATGTGATGGAATAAATTATTAAATTTTAAGTATGACTCGGTCATCCCTGTCTCCTCAACCTTTTTTATTTATTTTTCAAATATGGTTGCTATACATCAATCTTCAGAGAAAAAAAAAAACATCCAGTAGATTGAATGATGATGGGGTGACAATACCTTTAACATGAGTAATTGTTATAAACTTCATTTTTATCTTATTTAATTACACTGACTGGAAGCATGGCTCCTAAACAAATTGGTAATGACGATAGCTCAAACATTTTGAGTTTTGTTATCACTTAAGAAAACTGTCATGTCCTACCAGCAATATAAAGCCAAGCCTGACAGGGGGGGGGGGGGGGGCAGTGTGTCTGCCTCACTGATAGACCGATGATTGGCTTCCACCACTGTGTGCTAAGTGATGACCCACTTTTGTATAATACTTCATATTAATACAGAGGGTAATAATCATTCATGATACATAGAGGGATCCACATCATAAATGGTCAAATTGTTTCATACAAATGTGTCTGCAATTCACTGAAACTGCAAATATTTATATAAAAAGGATGGAGGGCAAAGATTTAGGAAAGGAGGGAGGAAGCCAGTCATTTTTCTTCTGTAAAGGATATATTTCAAAAGTTTAATAAGAAATAATGCCTAAATACAAAGGTTGCCAGGGAAATTTAATAATTTCAACAATGAATACTTTATTAGTAACTTTCAGGGCAAGTTTTATACGACTCGCTGTTAATACATTATAGTAATACCTAAGATCGACGTTAAAAAAACTGGGTAATCACTGCAGTGCTGTATGAATCACACATTTGGTACTTGATTTTAATATAATAACTTCGGCAATTACTAGCTTGTAATTTTGAGTTTGCAGAAATGTTTTCCTTGGTCAGAACTTCTAACAATTAAAATCATGTAATGCAGGGAAATTACAGCAATATAAGGCTGGTATCTGTATTATGAGTGCTGAAATAAATGCATCAGTATTGTTGTGTCACTGTTTACCCTGGGTTATGTACATAGGTGTATGACACCTAATCCTTTGGAAAGGTGTGGAATGGAGGAGACAAAATTGCCTAATTTTTCAACTGAATTCTTTTTCAGGTTCTGAACGATGAATGGTGATTGATTTATATTGGCCAGTGCATTTAATCTAATGTACTTGCCCTTGTGTATTCATATCTTATTGTTTTTCTTCATAGTCAGACTTGATTTCCATTAAACACAAGCTGACAGTTGTGCCATTTATGAGACTTCTTTGAGCAAGATACCAGTGACACTACTGCAAATTGGAGTAATAATTTTTGGGCAATTGCCACTAAGCACCCCTCTTCAAGGGGAGTTCCTTGATGTGAGGAGGCCCTTGGTCTGATGAATTCGACCTTTTGGTCTCCTCAGACTGAACCTAATTATCCCCCAATCCCCCTTTCCTATCCCATCCTCCCCATCCCCTCTTTTCTCTTTCCTCTTCCCTATCCCCTTCCTATTTTCAGCCTTTGGGATTCTTCCCACAGGCACTAGTTCTTAGGTAGGGGGAAGGGTACCATGGTCCATCCCATTCCATTGAGGTCCATGATGGTGGTGTAGTTTGTTGTGGAATCTGGATTGCCTGGGGATGTCGCACTCCCCCTCCAGCCTCCCGAGGGTGTCTTTCGGGTGACGGGTGTATCTCTGGAAGCTGCCTTTCGGATTCCAGGGGGTGGTGGCCAAGGAAAGCATGCTTTGTGGATATCCAGCTGCCCTCTTTTGTCCACTGAGGTGGCTTGTTAGATGTGAAGTTGCTATCCCAGATTGCTGGTTTACTGGCATGAAGGGTAGGGTATGGCATGGGTTTTCATGCCACATATGCACTACTTGAGGTCCCCCTTTTTTTTTCTTTTTTTTTTCTTTTTTCTTTTCTAAAAAACAAAAAGAAAAGTGACATAACCATGGAGTCCCAAGTCCATGAAACGGCTCCCCCCAGACACCTTTCTGCTACAACAGCTTGTTCCGACCCTACCTTGTTAACTGACCACTTTTCGGACATTTCTCATGCCCCTATACCCCCTGCTAGTGCCATTTCATCACCCGCTCCAGATACTGGGGGTTCTGCCTGACTCCTTTGGTACATCTGGCCTCCGCACTTCTTTGACCGTGCTTTTGGCTTCTCCCTCTACGGTGTGGCACTTTTTGGATCACCTGCCCATCCCACATCAGACCAACTCTGGTCTCACACCTAAACGCCCATGACCATTACCTGATACTCCTTCGCATTCTGCCCAGAAAAGACTAGCACAACACTCCTTTCCCTTACATGTTATGTTTCAAAATACACAATGGACTAAGCTTTTTACTCTGCGACTGACTTCTTCTCCTGACTATCTTTCTGATCATAGTGTTGGCAAAGCACTCCTATGCCATGTTGGTCAAGATATATCCTTTCATGCTCTCAAGAGCAGTACACACAGTCATGGTCCAGAATGCTAGCCAAGCTCACGATCTTTTTCTCTTTACAACCATAGATGCTATTCCTGTAACTATTGAAAAATATCGTTCTCTCAATTCTTGTTGTAATGTCATTTTACTTCATGCCATTGTCCAACACAATTTCCAGACATGTGGCGATGACATTCTGGAACAGCTTGAACTCCAAGACCTCCCAATCCTCAAAGTAGACACTTATGTCCTCCCTGCCCCCAGGCGGAGATGATACCCTTGCAATGTAGGTTGCTTAACTTTTGACTGCTGTGAGCTTTTGTCCTCAGTTTATATTGCTGGACACCATTTACGGGTTCAAAAGGCAATCCCTACACTGCAACAGTGTAGAGATTGCTGGCGTTTTGGTCCATGGCTGAATGCCCAGTCTGTGGTACTGGCGACCATACCAATACATCTTGTAGTCTACCTCCCTCTTGCCTTAATTGTCATGACGCTCGTCCATCTTACTCTCGCCGTTGCCAAGCTTACTTAAACAAGCGAGAAATCCATTGTCTCAAAGAGGCAGGTTTTCCATTTGCTATGGCAGTCTCATCTACACCTCCAGGGAAGACTTCCCCTTATTTCTTATTCTTAGAGTTACTAAATGCCCTCCCTCCTCTGGGGTCCTAACTTCTGCAGCCTCCTTTGTGGTCACCCCTTGCTCAGTTGCCCGTTTCTAATTCTTTTGCTGTCCTGGACTCGGAGGTCCCTACCTCGACACCTCATTCTCTTCTCTTCCTCTTCTCACTCACAGGTTTGTGTCGACAAGACCTCGTACAACAATTCCTCCCCATCACCCCTCTACTTCTCCGAAGTCCAAAAATTCCCATTGTTAAAATCTCCTTTAACCCCTCCTTCCCTTCTACCTGCACATTTTTCCTTTCCAGTCTCTCTACCTGGTCCTTCACCTCTAACTTGCTTTGTTACGAGTGTGGAGGTTCATCCTCCCCCTCGTACAGTACCTTCCTCCCCTGTCCCCTCCCAAGTTTCTTCCTCTTCTGCCCCCTCCCAGGCTGCTTCCTCTCCTGTCCCCTCCCAAACTTCTTCTCCAGTTCCCTCTACTCTTTTGTCCCCCCTACTTTGGTGCATTCCATCATCACTCCGATCTTTACTCGCCTTCCTCCTTCCATCTTCAATATCGTCCCACATACAGCATCCTTGTCATCTGAAACACTTGAAGCTATCTCCGAATGTATTGAGGAAACTAGACCATTGATGGACAACGATCCAACTCCTTTTCCTCCTCCTCCACCCTTCTCCATCTGCACAACTCCTTTCTTTGCAGTGTCCCAATCACTGACTCCCGTGGCGCTCAATTGGAGGCTTTTCTTGCTTCTCTCCCCTTCCATGTTTTAAATACGGGTGCCCCCATCCATTTGGATCCTCGTGCTCATTCTCACTTGCATCGATCTCTGTTTGCTCTTCCTCAGCTGTACTAAGAGTTTACCTGGTTTGCCCTCCCAGACTTGCATAATAGCGATCATTTTTCAGTCATCCTTACTTCTTCGTATTCACCACCTCCTCGTAGCCCACGCTGGCAATTTGACTGAGCAAATTGGGACCTTTACTTGCGTCAAACTGTTTTTAGTGAGGATCCTTCTTCATCTTCCATTGATGAGCTATAACACCTCTTCTCAACCTCAGTTTTAACCACAGCTTCACATTCTATACCCCAAACCTCAGGCAGGCATTCTCAGAGGTGCGTGCCTTGGTGGTCTCCTGCTTGTACTCGAGCATTATGTTTGAAATGCACTGCGTGGGGCAGGTACCAGTACAATAGAACCACAGAGAAACTCCTTGATTTTAACCCTTAAACTGTCCAAACAGATCTATGTTCACATGCGTAGTGCTCAAAAAGGTCTACGTTTTTTTACATATTTTCAAATATAAAAAAAAGTAGATCTAAGTTTTTTTTACACGTTTTCAAATGTAAAGAAACAAAAAGAAGATCTATGTTTTTTTACATATTTTCAAATGTTGAAAAAAATGTAGATCTACGTTTGGACAGTTTAAGGGTTAAGCAGGAAAGAGCAGTTGCTGGCCGTGTCATCGTGATGCTAAATGCACTTGCTGGTGGGATTGTGTTTCTACCATCACTTTGGTGCAGTCTGGAAAAAAGTACAGAAAATGAGTGGTACTCTCCCGACCCGGCTCCCATTCTTCGGGTTGCCAGTATCGCTATAGCAAACCCTCTTGATGTTGTCACTGAAATTGGTAATCATGTCCGTATCTCTCGGGGGCTCCAACTATGCCCCTCGTTTCTTTCCTCCAAGTCTGCCAGAGAGTTAGAGCCCTTAAACTTTTCTTCTATTAGAGAAGAATCTTATAATGTGCCTCTTGCACTTCTGGAACTGGAGGTAACTCTCTCTGCTTGCCGATCATCAGCAGCTGGGCCTGACAGCATTCATATTTGGATGCTACAACATTTACATCAGTCAGCCCTTGCTGTCCTCTTACAACTCTAATCCTATTTAGTTGCAAGGAGTTCTTCCCCAGCTGTGGAAATCTGCTATTGTTCTCCCTTTCTACAAACTGGGTACTACGGAACATGATGCCTCCCAATATCGTCCCATTTCTCTTTCAGTGTAGTTTGCAAGTTGATGGAACATCTGATAATAGATGTTTGATGTGGCATGTAGAGACACAATAGTCTCTCTACTAGTCAATATGGCTTTCGTAAGGGCCGTTCTACAACTGCGTTTTGTTTGTCTTCTAGAGCATCATAGTGGTCCAGTAGTTGGGACAGGCAGGAGCAACCTGCTCTAAACTCATGTGTAACTGATGGGTATCTAGATGAGTGGCGATCTTGCTTCTTAGAACATTTTCAAAGATTTTTATATGGTATGTTAGCACTGTCTGTAGTTCTTTGCTATTGCTTTACTGCCCCCTTTGTGGATTGGGGCTATGTCTTCTTTTTTAGCAGCTGTAGGGTGACCCCTGTGTCCATGCTTCCTCTCCATAGAATGTTAAAAACACATGATAAAGGCTTCTTGGAGTTCTTGAAGAACATAGAGTTCCACGGGTATGGGCCTGGATGGGCGTGTCATTTATTGCCTTTTCGAAGTCATGTGGTGTTTGGATAATATCAGATAGGTTTGAATCTACCAGATTCTGAGTCTCGCTCATAAAGAATTCATTTAGGTCTTCGACTCTTAGTCTGGTTAGTGGCTCGCTAAGAACTGAGTCATACTGGAACTTGAGTAGTTCACTCATTTCCTTGCTGTCACCTGTGTAGGACCCATCTCATTTAAGTAGGGGCCCAATACTGGATGTTGTTCTCAACTTAGATTTGGCATAAGAAAAGAAATATTTTGGGTTTCTTTCAGTTTCATTTATGGATTTTAGTTTTTCCCGTGTTTGTCGACTCCTGTAAGATTCCTTAAGCTTAAGTTCGATGTTTGCTATTTCTCTGACCAGTGCCTCCCTTCGTATTACAGATATATTGGCCTCTTTTAGCCACTCTGTTATTCTTCACCTTCACCTGTATAGGGAGCGTCTCTCTCTCTCTAGTTTACATCTTCTCTCCATTTT